AAAAATAAGACACAACAAAACAATGAGACAGAACAAAAAATAAGACACAACAAAACAATGAGACAGAACAAAAAATAAGACACAACAAAACAATGAGACAGAACAAAAAATAAGACACAACAAAACAATGAGACAGAACAAAAAATAAGACACAACAAAACAATGAGACAGAACAAAAAATAAGACACAACAAAACAATGAGACAGAACAAAAAATAAGACAAACAAAACAATGAGACAGAACAAAACAATGAGACACAACAAAACAATAAGACACAAATCACACAAAATAAAACTACTCATAAGATTACAATATCATAAGGCAAAAGTATCGTGTAGTCTCGGTAGAAGCTAACCGACGTTTCAGATGAGCTTACTATTCCATCATCACGGTGCTACATCCAAGACGACATGTATCTTCACACTCGAAGCCGTGAGAATCTCAAATCTCACCGGATTAATTAGACCGCAACCTTATAGTCTGTTTCTTCAACATCATCTTGCCCTCTCTTTTGAGCCTAGATTCTGAAATCTTATCTTCCTTTCAAGTTGTATAAATCGAAATTTTACACGAATTTGTTGCCTTTTCCAGTCGTTCTACGTGTCCCGTCCATCTCATGAAACTTCTCTGTTGCGTCTAAGCAGGGTAGCTCAGTTGGTCATGACGTTATCCGTCAGTTATGGACCCGAAGCTTCAACACGGTTTTTTTATTTTTGACTGGAGTAATGCAGAATTCCCTCTTTCGTGAGAGGTAAAACGCATTTCAGTCTTATGCGAAACTGAAGGAAATAATACCCCTTATTATTAGCAGAGATGTCACGTTGCCACTTTTATATTTTATAGCCTCGAACTTAGAAACCGTGCGGCCTACATCCAAATCAAGATATTTGAGAATAATCGTGGTACTACCTTTACTTGACAATACCACAAATAATAATCGACAGTGAAAGAAAGTATATTATAACCATCTATAAATTTGCAGGTTTTGTAGGTCACGTTACTTATTTCCTGTTGAAAAATGATGCACAGATTTGAATGGCGTTTCTAACTACAGGAATAAAGAAGGAGAACGCGAGAGATTTAGACTTTTGTGTGAAGGCTGGGTACAGTGTTCTTGGCGTCTCACTTTTCGAGCGTCCTTTATTCAATAAACCAAGAGGACGCGACGCAGTGCGCAGTTTACAAACGATTAAACATCAGAAATATGAAATCCGTTTCCGTTTTTGCATCGCTACTGTCATTGGCCGAATGATTCTGATTCCTTCTTATTTTACCATACAGAAGAAAGTTCGTAAGAGAAATGGCTGTAGTGCGTCTTGTTGTTTAGTATGCGTACGATTAAACTAACGCAGTTAGCCTACGTGCTATGTACATCAGAAGTGAGCAAACAATAGTTGGCCAGAAATTCAGTTCAGCTCCCTGTGATATTTACGTATTAATATAAGGATCCTTCATATATTTTTACCATCTTATTCGTGACATAGAGTGTGTTGCATAATAATAATTTAGTTCATTTATAATAATAATAAACAGCGAATGTGGAAATGAAAGCAAAGATAATTCCAATAATTATAGGAGCAACTGGAACTGTCTCCAAGTCACTCAGAAAATATTTGGCCAACATTCGGGACGAAATACAGAAAACTACAATTTTAGGATCTTCACATATCATTCGAAAGCCGCTGTCGTAAAATATATAGACATCCCTCACAATAAAACTACATAATACACGTAACACGTATCAAAGAACAAAATGTATTTCGAAAATAGCTGATGCACTACGTACCTTAGGAGCAAGGTTTGTCTCGGTTACATAGAAGTAAGTACCCTGTAAAATGGTGAATATATGGAATAATAATAATAATAATAGTCATCTTATGATTGCGGATTGAGGCGAAAGACTCGAGACATGGAGGTTAGTTACAAATATATTCAACAACAACCACCGGGCAGTGGACAAGGTGCGGTCCTCGAACTTGGGAGTTGAGAGGGAGACCAACAACTTTTCGCCGTGGAAACGAACATGTTACAAAATGCTCCACGTTAATAGTACTGATAGTATTAATAAGCCTGATATGTCTAACAGTATTAACTATTTTAAGGATGATTAATAAATAATGAATTGGAACATACGTGGAAGGAAGCGAGCGTGGTCTAATGTAAGGTATTGTTTCGCCATTGGCTGGAGGAGCTGAGGAATACCACCAGAAAGCTCAGGATAGCTTGTCTAGGGGCTACGTTTAAACTCGAGACCTCCCGAATATTTGGCTGGTCGCGGAGTAAAGGTAGTTTAATTATTTTTTTCGGAGACTTAATCAACCTCAACGTTTTCGTGACAACGAATCAGTCGCTCCCTCGTCACTACACTAACGACCCGGAATTATCACGTGGACGTCATCTGTAGTAAAGTTCTTGATTGTTCGTTTTGTAAGGATAAAACCCCCCTTTCTCCCTTCAGACCAAAAATATAAGACAACAAATGAAGTCTAAAATGCGTTAAACGAGGCAGAACACCATTGTCCAGAATGTCTGAAGAGAGAGCAAACGTTTTACCCCATAACACCACAGTAAGTCAGCAGAAATATCTTCTTAACGCACGCAGAAAGTTAACAGAAGCGGAAATCGCACATCAGAACACATCTCATGTACACAACTACACCAGAATGTAATAAAAATCCAAGATGGCAGTTATTCTATAATGGACATTTTTCTCCTCTGTCACTGTGCCAAATTGCTGTGTTTTTTATACAGAATGTCGCTAGAGAAAGGAGGAAGAATATAATAATAAATGGGCTGTTTCCTGATCCGAAATAGCGGAAATCTATTGTAAAGGCAGAGACTTTTCAAAATTTGCTACTGGTGGAAAAACGAACTGAGAGTGGCTGTTAAGACAGGGGTGAGGGGTTGATACTTGTAACACGCGTTTATAGGTTTCTGACAGTGTAGTGTTAAGGGATGAGTGTAAAGATAGCTGTGTTGTAATGGAGGGTACACAATCGATTGATTTCTTGTTCCGTAGAATCTTCCAGCGACTAAACGTAACTCAGTGGCTTCGGGTATTTCTTAAAAGCGTCATAGTTACTCAGATGGTCTAGAAATTCCCTGCTTTTATGAACCCCCAAAGTTTGTCATCGTCCTCTCAAAATCCGTCGTTAGGCATCCACACACTTACATCCTATTTTTCTAAACTCCATTTAGGTGCGTTTGCAACGCCACTGAGCGTCTATTAAATAGGCTCCGTCCGTTTATACCTTTTATGTGACTTTGACAGAACTTTTGAACGGCTGAACGTGATTTAATGAAATTTGATACTGGATAGTTTTACTAACATTTATACTCCCATTAATTTTTTTTATTAAAATCGGACATCAGTTACGGGTACCTGATGACACGTTTCTGCGCACCGCAGTGAACGATGCTGAATCTCCGGAACACTTATCTGTGCTTGCTTTAATTTCTTACCAACTACACGTAGCTTTCCAGGTTGTCCGTTCCCTTCCAGTCTTTCAGACTATAAACTACCGTACGAATGTCACTTCCAAAACACCTCATTTTTATCGATTTAATAAAACTAACAGTAATTAACTGAAATTGTAGGATGCGCTGGCAGATTGTGGACAAGCAAATGAACATTTATTTCCCGTAAAAGACGGGAATATATTAATCAACTAAGCTACTATTAGTGTCTTAGTAAGTAGTCTGCTGATTGCATTGAAAGTGCAGTCTGGGGTTTGGGTCTTGAACGCTGGAACATTTACATCCTGGATTCAAATCCCACTCGATTCATGAATAAATGTATTTTATCTTTGTTGTCCCGTGTAAGTAGACGTCATGTGATCGGATAAAATTTATTTCCAGGAAGTCCTGACCTATTCTTAAAGGATTAGTTATTTCGTTATTAATTTTGAAATTAACAAGGCCAGACGATCTAAGCAATAAGAGCTAAAAGAAGAATAAGAATAAGAAACCGAGCCTGTTTCTTGAAGTTCTCAGATGGTTTTATAGTGACCACTGTGACTCAGGTGAAACAAGAAAGAAAATTATTGTAACATTTTGTTCGTAGTTTTGTTATATTATAAAAATTTGTGTTTTCGTCGTCGTCAATAAATTACGTCATCAATCAACAATGTCAACAAATAACGCTTCACAACAAAGAATCAAAAATCAAAAAATGACGTCATCAACAATGTCAACAGATATTTGTTTACTCGACATTGTTGTCAATAAATTACGTCATCAACAATATCAACTATAAACAAACTCGGAATTGTTGTGGAACACAACAATGCCGAGTTTAGTGTCTTACTCAAGATTTTAAAACGCAACCAACCCCCCCGAAGGGGTTGGT